AGTAATAACAGTAATAACACTATTTATGTATAATATTGCATATATATTTATATTATTATTTTGTATACAAGCTGTATTATTCCGAAAGGACGCTAAAAAATGGTAGTATAGCGGGAATTAGTGCTTTTCATAGCCCCGCTAACTTCACGCACCTTTTCGTTGTATTGTTCAGGGGTGCGCTCGAAAACTCAACTTTGGCTATTCAGCGTCATTCGGGATAGCAGAGTTGACTCCGAACAACCGTTCGGTAACTCAGAGTAGTTGACTCCAGGATAACCCCGACGACCCTAAAAAAAAAGGTGATTGTAGGTATATGAGTAGCCAGCTATATTATACATATTATCTATGTTTAATCAGATAATAAACTATAACTTAGAAGTCACAAGATAAAATAACTGCAGTTTTACAACATTTTATACGAAAAAATACTAAAATCTATTATATTTACAAATATATATTTATACATATACATATGTATATATATATANAATAAACAAATGTAATTTTTACTTACCTTAGTTGTGTTTAAAATAATATTACAAAGCGTATATTAAAACATCATAAACTTTTTGTTTACTAACAAAATGTTCTCAATTTTCGCATATAATCTACACTTTTATTCATACACAACCATTCATTACTATRTAGACGTGGTGGTAAAATGACAAAGCTTTATCAGTCCAATTATAAATTAATATTAGTATTAAGCAAAAAATATCGAGTGATCATTTTATTATTAACTATTAACTAATAATAATTAATAAGTAATAACAGTAATAACACTATTTATGTATAATATTGCATATATATTTATATTATTATTTTGTATACAAGCTGTATTATTCCGAAAGGACGCTATTGCCATAGTCTGTATTTACCAATGAAGTCTGTAAAATACGATACCAATTATCCATCTTCAAAAATATATATACACACCACATACATAATAGAAATAGCTGGTCTTCCACACGTAATCACCATTATTATTTATTGTTTTATTTGTGTATGTATTTTATGTATTTTATTATACTACTGCCATATTATGATCAAATGGGTTTAATCAGAGGCAATGTAGGTACCTACCAAATCACCACTCGCATTGTATTTGAGAAATAACAGTAGGTATAATACTACTAAATATTATTATTAATTTATGAGACGGACACACGATACAAAAACAAATAATTATAACAGCGATGAAAATAAAAAATTAAGCACTAAAAAATGGTAGTATAGCAGGAATTAGTGCTTTTCATAGCCCCGCTAACTTCACGCACCTTTTCGTTGTATTGTTCAGGGGTGCGCTCGAAAACTCAACTTTGGCTATTCAGCGTCATTCGGGATAGCAGAGTTGACTCCAAACAACCGTTCGGCAACTCAGAGTAGTTGACTCCAGGATAACCTCGACGACCCTAAAAAAAAAGGTGATTGTAGGTATATGAGTAGCCAGCTATATATTATACATATTATCTATGTTTAATCAGATAATAAACTATAACTTAGAAGTCACAAGATAAAATAACTGCAGTTTTACAACATTTTATACGAAAAAATACTAAAATCTATTATATTTACAAATATATATTTATACATATACATATGTATATATATATATATATACCATTATATTCAATTTTACATACTTAAAAATAGGA